GTTTTCACCGTCCCGAGGACCCCAACCAGGAAGTCTACACCTTCCTATGTGGCTTAAACTAACTGTTGTAGATTTCAATGACTGGTGCCATGTTTTCGTTTGACCGCCGCTAGCTCTTTTCCAGCCTGGTCCTATATCAGCTAACATTGCCCGTCGAGGAAGGCGATGACTAGGCATACGTAGCACATGTCCTAACCATCTCAGTCGATGTAATTTCACAGTTTCGTCGACCGATTTCCCCGCCTTACCTAGCACTCGACGCCTAACCTCAATATTGCTCACCTTATTATACCACTTCACGCGGAAGATAGAACGCAGACACCTATGATCGAACACAGCTAATCTTTTCATGTATTTTATGGAGTGTGGCAACTCAAACTGCTGCACATCTGTGCAAAGTTCTACGTTGAATACGTGTCGAAAAGAAAGGAGAGTTAAAACAGTCAATTCATAAAGTACAATGATCATCAATTTAAGTTAAAATCTTTGTCAGTAACCATCAACTAGACTAAATCTAATAAATGTTTAAACGGCTGAGGATTCATCGAAATTCATTTAAAGTGTGTTTCGGTTTCCTAATTGGTATAGACTATTATTATTATTATACATTTTAACATATATGACCATGATCAAAATTTATTTCTAATTTATGGTCGGATAGATTTCAAATGACATGAGAGAAAAAAAATGTTCAAACCAATGTTTACATGTCTCCCAGGTATTAGATTTGGCTTAATACCGTGTTACAACTTATAGTTTGTCTATACTAAGGATAAATCAGCCATGGAAACGTTGATCATTTTTTTCTCTTTTGAAATGTTAACCATCGTTATTCTGGGTGTAAATAATATTCAGTAAAATAGTTATTTCAATAAGAAAAACCCTCAATGGTAATGTGGCACAGAAATTCAATACAATAAGATGCCCTAGATATGACCAAATTACAGTTCGTCATCATGTACAATTACTTTTTAGCTATAGCTGCATACAGATTTTATATTCTGTTAATTGTCAACTACTTTGTAGAACCAATTGTCATATTTCTATTTAGAATTTACTATAGACTGACATCGACTAGGGAATTATCGGAAACCAAGGTATCACCTTTAAATTCATAATAAATCTAACTCAGAACGTAAGTTTTTCCAGACTGGCACAATACCATTTAACCATTCCTGTATGTGTATGTGTGCTTAGTCTACTGAGAATCTTACGCAGGTACCTATGAGCGAGTCTATAGAGGTTTTATAAGTACGTAATATGTATCCTGTTTACCAAGATAAGTTTTCAGTGGATTTCTATTGTATCACAATACAGTAGAGTAATTTCGACTAACTACTTAGATGATTTGTTCTAAAGCGTGAACACTGGTAGACTGAAACAAAATGGCGAAAGGTCATTTACTATATGTATAGTTATGGCTCATTAGGTTGGGTAAAAATTACTTGATATACAGTCAATTCGATAAAAAAAAAGGATATAAGCCTATACCATAATGATAGACCAGAAGAGTTTCTGAATGTTACTTAAAATAACTGGATGAACTATAAACAGCGGGTTCAGTACGTTTTCCCGAAAACCCTCATCACCAAGAATAACAAGCAGTATATTCTTCTATGTTCTGTCTGACAACAGTGTTTTCCTTGGAAAACTATCTATTGTTTGTAGGTTGTGCAGCTTCTAATAGGTTTCTAGCCTGTCACTGCATTTTGTATAAATTATGAAACATCTAGCTGGTGAAAGATGAATTTCAACAAGCGTATAGTAGAATGCAATGATTAAACTTTAAGAAAAGAAAACAAGGCCCCCATCCTATCTCTACGATTTAGACACCTTCAGGGATTAGCTCTAAAGATACACCTGGTAAAGAATTCAGATCTGACGAAAAAACATTGAAATATAATTGATATAATAAAACCTTTTAAAGGCACACACACATTGTCTCTTATTCAATTATTCTACCGGAAAGAACTTTAAAACAACACAAATCCTGAGACTCACTATGAGTACGAGAATTGTGTGATCCTCAACAGACTTCGTAATGTAAATCTCTTTTGTCATTATTAATCCACCAGTTGGGTCTTTATATTTGGATCAGAAACGTCGATGTTACTTAATTTGTTCTGAAAACCAATAAAAGCATTGCTAAACAAGTCAACAAAATATCCTAAGGAAACGACAAAATTCCTTCCTCTGATGAATTTATGGGACTTTGATTACCAGCAGACGCCTACTAACCACGTTTTACACTACAATGGCAACCATTCAATAGTTCATAAGGATTCGTGCATGCAATAATCATTTCTCGAACCAAGACTTACAGTACCATATAGGAACTACGAAAATCAGCAGGAAACTATTCTTACATGATTTGTAGTTCAAATAGTTATCGCCACAACTTGTCTAATAAGTGTTTATCAACAGTGGAAACAACAGAGCGTTGTTGACCTAAACTCAACGTACAACTTTGCACAGTTCAGCTTGCCACACTTCGGAAAACCAGACATTAAAATAAAAGAAAGAAACTCAGCAAAACAACAATGACCAAATTGATTTACTCTGTATTAGAGACGTTCGATAGGCCATCAACCTGTCGTCCCACCAATTTGCTATTTAGGCGGCACCTAGACCTATGAAATTAATGCAAAGTCTACTATGCAACGCAAAAGATCGATTGTCATGAGAGTATCAGACAGACGTAATATACAGAATCAACTATGAAGATTGTCTACAATGATGCGTTATTTAGTTCTGTTCAAAGGATTTACAAACATCAGTTCTCAGTAATATAGCACCCTTCTTCATCCCTAGTCTACTACACCTACAATCACAATGTCTAGTACGAGGATGCGTTTATCTTACAACATACAAACTCAGAGTTGGCAAGAGAATATGTAGAATCATAACATTTAAGTGAAGCCAGGATTAACAGTCATGTAACTTATAAATATGCTTAATCCTGGTGAAGTTATTGCTGAAAATTTTCACTTAATCTGACGATGAGACGTCAAATATCAAACCTCGTAGAAGATTTTAATTACGATTTTGATATTCAAAGATATTCAGATTGAATGTGTTGTCTAGTGGGGCATTGTAAACTTCGCAAGTAAACCATCCAGCTCAGAGAATAAAACTACATCAACATCACCCACCTGAGCTACAAATCTTCTCCATGATATCTAGAGAGGACATACCAGCCGAATTATTGCTAAGTGATCTGTTTAATTACACAATTTATAGAAGATAATATGCTCACTATCCTCTTATCTGCGTTTATTCAGTAAACCCAACCCTCCAGAAATAAATTTTCTAACTCTGTAATCTTCACCAGCCAAGAAACCGAAATAGGAAAAACCATTTCATTGTTGTATCTGCTCACTCAGATGCTCGTGACTTGCCTTTGAAAATGTTAGGCTGAATTAAGTCAGATGCCTATATCCTCACACTCATCTGTTTAGATAAAGCTCTCTAGTTTAGCCTAGTCAAAATCCTAAATCTTATATTCTTCGCTGAGTTTTGTGAAACTAATTTTTCAATCATCCTGGCAATCATTTCATGCTATCAGTTCGATTTTATTCCAATACACCACTATGATTGCTACCATAATTTAACACTTTCCAGCAGCAACTGATTCATTTTATTTCTATGAAGAACAGTATTTTTTCATACATTTGGTTCCCTTGATAAGTTTCAATAAAGAAAGAAAGATCAGATTTGCAGTATAAAAAGTGATATCATTCTATTTCACAGGTTCTCATCAGCTGCAAACTACGTGGAGTTACAATGGTTATCAGTAATGACAATAGCATGCTTCAATGCTCGAATAGTAGTAGAGAAAACACTATAAAATATAAGCATTACAATTTTTGTTTTAAGTTACGATCAATTTATATGCTTTCAAAATAGAAAATGAGGGGGCATGAGAAGATGGAAAACAAAAAATCCTACAAACAGTGTTAGCATGTAGGCTTACATAGCAATTCAAAAAGGTTATATAAAATTGGAAACTTGCTCAGTGAGCTGAAATTACCAATATGGATGACTAATCAATCTAATCAAAACTTAGTTACCAAGGGGGGTGAGTGGCTGATAACCTCTTTCTGTATGCATAAGTTTGGTTTGAAACGCTTGATTGCAACTGCTTCAGCAAATCGTAGTAGATTTGCTGTTCTTTGAAGGTTTAATATTTTGAAGGATTTAGAAATCTGGACGAAATGACGCGTATCCACAACTGCAACTTTACGAATATCTGCTTCCTTTTAGACACAAGTTTCTTGGGATATGCTCTGAAAACCGGAGAAAAGCCCTTCTTCTTCGTTTTCTTCTGCTACCCCTTTAATAATACCAGGATTTTGTCTTTGAATACCACCTCATACTTATTACCAAATAAAATGAGTAATCAGAAAGCATTAACATCAATCATATAACAGACTAACCATATAGAGGTAATTTAAAAAAAAACGCTTAACGGTTGTTTTGTTCATTCTTTCCTTGCGCCTACATTGTCCATATTTTTATCCATTATATAAATTAACCAATAAAAACTATTTCAGCGACCTACAGATTTGGTAACCTCCATTCCAAAGGTAATGTTTATGATATCTGAAAAAAAGCCTAAATGGATACACAAATCAAAGCAGTCATATTCATACAAAACTATATTCGGCACCTACTTTAAGTCCTATGCACCAAACCACCAGTCGGAAAGCGAAGTACCACTTCCCTGTTGAAATCTCATTGTATGGAATAGCTTTTAGAGCTAAAATATATCACATAAATCTGCTGGCTTAAAGTAGACAAATTATTCAATTTTTACATATTACCTGTCATCCTTGTTTCCCCATCCAAAACATACAGTTAATGCATACATTTTGATCAAATGTTATAAAGTGATATTTTGCATAAACTTTGTGTAGAAAACCTTCCATCATCAATTGCATTAAATGCTATCAGAAGACAATACAAATTGAATAATATCTAAATTTATTCTTCTATTTCAGTTGGTCCGCCGCTATTGTTCCCTGTTTATTTCCAAATCATGTCTTTCCGACATATGTGGATTCATAAAAGAGTAGAAGTGAGTGAAATAGCATTTCACTGTTGAAAATAAACTTCACATTAATCTTATTCATATTTTTCAGTATCATTTGAAGTGTCACTACAGTCATTAGCAGTCATTAAAACAGTGGAACCAGAATAATATTATAAAATAATATACTTTCACTTTGAACAAATGGTGAAGTTGTCTTACTGACCTTAGTTTACTGAATTTTTATAGGACAATCTTTTCACTTTACTGTCTATTCATGTAATTGATTGCTATAAAGATTGCTATGTTACATATATGTTTATATTTTATTCATCTATAATGTGTCGTGTGCTACTGATAGGATTTATCAGTAGTACATAAAGAGACGTTCATCGGCATAAAAACATCAAAAGCAGGGAGATAGATTTGATGTCAGAGGAAGCAAATGATACAGCGTTGCGGAGATACATGGGATACGTGAAGGGAACACAAAGAAACACAATATGAAGGTCAGAAGTAGCACAACACGGAAGATGAGAAGGTGTACATAATACAGCGATACCAAATAAACATTTATTTACCAAGTCTCTCGTCTTCTAATGTTACAATAATACTTAGATTGCATCAGTGATTTGGTGGTAGAACCCCGTCAACCATGCATATGGGCTAGGGTTCGATCCTCAGCTTATGCACTCCAAAATCTCGCTAAACCGGTGGTAAGGTCTGTAAAGAGGGAAGGTTGAGTGTGAGGTTAGCAACCCCACCCCGTATAAATAAAACTACTGCTACCGAAACTTCAACACTGTAGCCTGAAGTCTTATGCTCCACTTGGAACGTAAAAGAATAAAGTAGTAAGATAAATAATAGTACTTAGCTTGCTGATTTTCTTTTTACTGAAGTATTATATCTCATTTTGTTTTGGTTACTATTCTTTAGGACTTTATTTACGTTATGGGTTTCTACGCAAAGCTTCTGTTTCTTTACCACTCAATATTTGGATTCTGGGGTAGTTTGGCGTATTTCTTTGTGATAAGGTATTTTATGTGTTTCCTGGTCTTAATTTTGCAATTTTTTGTTCGTGAATTTTTGTTAGCCTGATAGTCATAAGTAGTATGCCATCTACCGTAAAGGCTTGTCATTCATCTACTTAATGAAAAATAAAGTTACACTGATAATATTAACTTGATTAAAAGTCATTTGCGCTGACAACGCTGTAAATTAGAAACAACCTTGACTGGTTTATCTGTTGAATACAGGCTTACTGTTATACTAGTGATACTTAATGACAATTTGTATAGACGCGCTAATATCTTTCAGTTCTTTCGTCTTCCTAATGAAACAAAGGGTTTAAAGCTTTAAACTTTGAAGTTACAATAGCGGTGTAACAGCAGAAGGCAAAACACGGAAGCCAGGGTATATTTTCAATTGATCAAACCGCTATATATATAGTTTTATATTCTTTAACGAATCACTGAGCGTGTGATTTTGGTTTACAATAAACGACATGTAATAGAATGTTCTATATATATATTATTCTGTTGCTAATGCAGTATTGAACTGTGGGAATATGTGAGAATATTCCGTTGGAACATATTGTCATTGTATCACACCACCATACTGGTCCTCCATTCAGATGGATTCCGTTTGCCTCTGTTGTGTGTTAAAGTCGTACTGGTAGACCACGCGAGAGGTAGGGTGATATACGATAAATAACTTTAAAAGCTTCGTTAGAGTCGACTTAATGTCTAGTGTCGACGAGATCAGCTAGTTTTGAGCTGCGTATAGCTTTATTCGGACCTTTGTCAAACCAAGATGTGAGGTGTTCAGAAATTCGACGATGAACTTGCCTGATCGTACGCCTTATTTAACTAGTTCCGCACGGGTAATTAAACTGGTAAATACACATGAAAGAGGCGAAACAGGGCAGTCTGTCTTTATTCCTTGAACTGAGTATTGGTCGGCTAGTGAATACACAGCATAGCTTAGCTGCGTTGAAAGTCCTTTTGAAGGCCCTTCTCAGACGTTGTGATAAGGTCTCACTATTGACATCACCAGTGAATTGTAATCTTAGAAAGACTGATTTTTTGAGAACAGTGGGCACTTTCGACTTTTTACTTCCTGAGTTCATGTGTTTGTTCACGAATTTAGTCGGATATCCGTTTCTACTTAGCAGATCATGAATATTACCGAGTTCTTCGTTCAGTGTCTCATTCGAACAGATAACTCTAGCCAGGTGAACCAGACATCTAACCAGATTACGTTTGTATTGTAGAGGTACAAATCTCGAAGTGATATTGTCCAGTTGAAGGTTTTCTATGCAGATGTCTACATATTGTTCCATCTGTTCGTTTAGTCATTAGGACGTCCAAAAAGGAGATAGAGTCATTTTCTTCCTCTTCTTTAGTGAAGTTTGTGCTAGGATGTGCTTTATTGAATTTATCCAACTGTCCTTAGTCTCACTTTCTTTCTTCACAACTATAAATGTATCATCAACATATCGGCAATAGAAATCAAGATTATATATTACATCTTTGAGAGGACCATTCTCTAGTTTCGCCAGGAAAAAATCTGCTAGGATTGGGCCTAGTGGTGATCCCATGGCAACACCATCTTATTGTCTATACATTTCTTTATTGAACAGAAATTTTACGTCCATTGTACATATTAGAAGAAGTTCCCTTAGGGAAGACATAAGAATTCCAATCTCTGTACCTTGCCTTATCAATTCATTGTCTGTGTAATCAACTGTTTCCATCAAAGGCACATCGGTGAATAAGGAAGATACATCCCAGGATATCATGTATTTATCCTTCACATTTAATTCCTTGATCCTTTCTACAAACCCAAAACTATCTCTTACGCTATTTTTCACAAGTTTCTTATGCAACGGCTGTATAAGTTCCCCCAGCCATTTCTCAATTGAATGGTATGGTGAGCTAAACATATCAAGAACCAGCCTGAATGGCAAGCCATTTTTGTGAATCTTTGGTAAGCTGTATAACCTGGGTGTTACCTTGCCGACAGGTTTTATTGTTTCATTCAATGCAGGTGAAATATGGCCTTGTTATTTCAACTTTCTTAAAGACTCTGTTAACCGTCTCTCAGTCCTCTCTGTTGTATCTTTGTTAGTTGATAGTTTCTGAAATTTATGTGCATCACTTAATAAAGTCTCCATTTTGCTAAAGTAATCAGTCTTATCCATGATAACGACTCCTGAGTCTTTGTCAGGTCTGGAGATCACTATATTCTCATTTGCTTTCAATTTCCTTAAAACGTCTTGATGCCTTTTGTTGAAAATACCCTTTGTATTTCCTCTACTATTCATGTATTTGTAACAAAAATCCACCAAAGTTGCCTTAGATCTTTTAATCTGCTCATCTGATGAAGTCTGCAGTCTGAGCATAAAGGTTTTCAAATTGAACCTGTATGTCCATTTTATTGACTTTTATATTACTATCACAAAATTTAAGACCAAGAGACAAGACTTCTAAATCTGTCAAATCAAGAACCACACTAGAAAAATTGTAGAAATGGCGTTCTGGATTGGGTGGAAAATATGCTTCAGGAGTCTGACTGTCGAGCTTTTGAATAAGCTGGGTTCTTTTCTTTTCCTTTCTTCTGATAATAACATCGTTCACACACTGCAAGAATGGTTGCTTCATTTTTTAATTTAAGGAACCATATATTAGTGTAGAGCCGATGATGAGGAACTAATTGAAAAGGAAAATATTTCTTCTTTCTCAATCTGTTATCTTCTAAAATATTTTCGTATTCACCATATTAATTACTTATAGTAGTATTATGCAATGATAAAACTTATTTTAATTGTCTGCAAACCTTTGTAATCTGATTTTTCTCTCTCACTGTTCTCATTGGAAATGTTAACTTTGACAGTATTCTATTGACATGGTGTGACGAAATTAGGGCTGCATATGCTTCAGGTGGTATATAAATTAGTGCTGAATTCATAGTATATCAAATGAAGAATAATTGTTGATTTTATATGATTGCTAAATTCTGATGTCTTGATAACTGAATAAAAGGTGTATTCTTCCGAACAGGGTCTTTGACATCCACTAAGAAATTATCAAATCATTGTCATTTGAAAACTTTGAACTGAAAGCATTACTAAGTATAACTTTCACCGGAATCAGTCCTTCTCTATGGTTCATAGACTTAACGTGTCACTAAAAGCATTCCGAACAGGCTTCAGACTCTCATCAACAGCTGCCCTAGCTGGCTCAATACAGAAGATCACACGGCCAGCCAGAAAGCAACAGCAACAAAGAACTCTGGGAACGAACCAATCAAGAACCTACTTCCTAACAAATATGCCGAAGAAAATGATGATGGGTTGGACACACACTGAAGAGACTGTTGGGTGAAATCACGCCCCAGGCTGGGAAACTACTAGTTGGGTGTCCGATGGTGACCTGGAGGAGATCATGTGAGAAGGAGATGATAGTTTATGGGCAGTCGTCGGACGGACTAAAGACGACTGCAGAAAACAGGATGGAATGGAGATGTGCAGTTGAAACCCTATCTTCTACTCGGGACCTAAGGGAATAATAATTATAATACATTTTCCTGGGAACTCCAACTTTTTAATGCACTTGTCCATTTTAAACAGAAATAATTCTTTTCTGTAAGTCATGAGATTTTAATCATCGGATACCTATTAACCTATTAGAGTTTTCATAGCTGCCTTATTCTGTCAAAAATAAAACATTATTTATACTATGCTTACTACTTTATCCATTGGTGCAAATACTTCTTACGCATATTTGACACTTTCTAGACTAATTGAGAGTCATTGGTTCACCTGGGTTAGTCAATCAAACCATTTATCAATGCCAGTAGATTATGATCGAGCTGAACCATGGTTTCGTTTACAACTCAATGGAACATGTAATGTAGAAAATTCAATGTTTAACGATTGGTTTACAGGACATTTAAACTTTCAAATAGAACATCAGTAAGTTGAAGTGAATCTTTAGTTTTCTTTCCTTTGTAAATTCTTCAATGTTTATAGTTCATCCGAGTATGTATTTCCAGCATATATATTTTTTTAAATTGTTTCTCATCAGCTCAAGTTTAAATTTCCTCCAAAACCAAGTTAATTTTGTTGCTTTAAATTTGGAAAATTTAATTTGTAGACTGAGGAAAGCTGAGATATACAATATGTTACCGAACAAGCATTGAGTCAAACTACCAAACTAATTCACCATAGCATTTATTATTTCATATTTTATCTCTGTATGTTACTAATGGAACTTAGGGCTTCAAGCTAGAGCTTAGAAGTTTCAGTAGCAACGGTTCTGCCTTTACGGGGTGAGGTTGCTGGCCTCACGCCCAACTTTCTCTCTTTACCGACTTAGCGAGGTTTAGGAGTGCGTCGGCTGAATCCTGGACCACATGCGTGACTGGCCAGCATTCTACCGCTGGACCACCAACACCAAAAGTTGCCAGGGCGAGGCGCATGGTCATGGTATACAGCCTTCTTCAAACCTTGCACACAACTATTAGGTCGCGCATTATCATATCGCTCTTGGTAGATGTGGCAACAAAAAGTCACGAGGACACCATCAGAGCATGTGACAGGCTAGGTACCCCAACGAAAGCATATTATAGTAGAGTTTTATAAAATCAAATAAGATGAGATAATGATAAGTCTAAGAACTACAACCTTGGAATGAGTGATTCACTAGTCAGCACAACGGCCTTCCTACACATTCCATTACACTGTACAAATAGAACTAGTGGATAAAACTACCATTGAAAAAGTGACTAGCAAATCATAGTTGAGGAAATAAGGGAATAATATGTTAGTATATGATTTTCTAATGGTTCTAGATTCGTTTTATCTGCGCACGCATACAGCCTAGGCGTATCTTCATAACTTCTATTTATAACTTCTACCCTAACTTTCTCAGCAAGTTGATGTTACTCGCTTTCTATCAAATCAAATGAAATAAGATGATTTAAGGCATTACTCTTATTTTATTCCTTCCATATCACATCTTATTTTCTACTTCTTTATATGGTCGGTCAACAAATAGGTCTGCTTAAATAGACTGTTTTAGGTCTAAATAGCCTAGTGTTATTGATAAACTAGGTTTATCCAAAATATCTAAGCCCATACCTGTGAGATCTATTTGTATAGAGATAAGGTAAGGGCAGATCAATTAAAATAAAACAACAGGGCGGGAACTTAGAGAAAGAACGATAATAAAGGAAAAATAATAAATAAGCAGGTAAATCACTATTAGTAGTACAAGGACTACGATAGTGGGTTAATAGGGACAATATATTTTATATTATTTCATGGGTACTCATAGTTTAATCCAGGAGACCCATTTCCCCTTATTTATGACCCACCATTTTAATGTTCCTACATATTACTGCGGTGCAGTATACACTATCAACAAGTTCTAATTAATGGATGACGACAGATCGTTTATGCATGCACAATAGGTAGGCTTAATTTCCGAATGATTTCGACCTCAGTTATGTATAAAATCATAATGACTACTACACCTACACTTATAAGGGTTCATTTGTCTCCCACTTTCCCCATTTCTGTTTAGCTTCATCATAGATATGCTAATGGAAGTATCCTTAACTGAACTTTACGATTTACGAATCGACTTGTTACCAGGGAATAGTCTTATGAACTTAGAATACGCAGATGACATAGTCCTGTTATGGGGAGGTTGCTGACAAAATGCAGAGTCTTCTGAACACCTTGAGCAACAATCTTCGTATGTTTGACATGCGATTTGCCCCTGTAAAATGTAAGATGCTGCTACAGGACTGGACTACGTCAACTCCTAGTTTAGTGATAGGGAGTGAAGTGACAGAACATGTTGACCACTTCACCTATTTGGGAAGTTGTATCAGCACCAACGGATTGATTGGTGACGAAATCTCAGCACGGATCCAAAAAGCTCGAGCTGCTTTCACTAACTTACACCATCTCTGGCGTAGGCATGACATCCGGCTATCAACCAAGGGACGTGTGTACTGCTCAGCAGTTCGCTCCGTCATTCTCTACGGCTCTGAAACATGGCCAATACGAGTTGAAGACATGAAAAGGTTGACTGTTTTTGATCATATATGTCTACGATCTCTTTCTCACGTTAGGTGGCATGATAAGGTAAGTAATATTGACGTTAGGCGTAGAGTGTTGGGAAAAGAGGGAAAATCAGTCGAAGAGACTATAAAGTTACATAGATTGAGATAGCTAGGTCACGTGCTGCACATGCCTAGCCATAGCCTACCCCAACGGGCATTACCAGATGATATAGGTGCAGGCTGGAAAAAAGTAGGCGGTGGCCAAACAAAAACATAGCACCAATGCATGAAATCCTAGACATTTAAACTGAGTCAGGTAGGGAGATGCAGACTTCCGGGTTGGGACCTTCGGGACTCTAAGAATCAATGGCTGGAGACAATAGGTGACATGGCTCAAAATCGTTATCAGTGGCGCAGATGTATTCAGTCTCTGTAATCTTTCATATTCCTTTCTACCATTACTCATTCTGTTTCACTCTTATACTTGTCAAAACTCTATTGATTCTCTTCACCCATCTTCTTGTCTACCTTTGTGTGCTATTTGGAACGTGGCAACTCGAACTGCTGCTTTTCGGTGCCAAGTTCTATGTTGAATTCAGACAGACACTATTTCGCTAAATGTCCTCCTACTCTCAAATACAAACAGTGATTACTCCTGTCTGTTTCGGTGTGTCCACCTATGCGTTAAGGTTTACTCTGAGTATCATGTTCTATTCGTAATGATGGATACACCGTATATAACATGGTATCCTTTTTTCGCTGTCCGAACCATGCATGAATTCGTCTATATGAGTTACTTTCATCCGTGTGTTATAATATAATATCTTCAATACCAAGAAGAAAACGTTCGACAAAACGATTACAAGAAGTTTAGATGTCCGCTCGGTTTTCATTAGACTATCAGTTTTACATTTATCCTACCTAATATTTGCCAAGTAGTAACTCATTATTCGGACATAGTTATGCGTTTTTCACTCACTAATTAGGGCAAATGCGTTGGTGGCGCAGAGGTAAAATTCTCGCCAGCCACTCAGGTGGTCCGGGGTTCGATCCCTGGCTGGCGCACTTTCTTGGCTAATAATAATCCCGGCAAAGAAGGAAAGTTGGGCATGAGACTGAAAATCTCACCCAGTCGTAAAAATGAGACCACTGCTACCGAAACTTCAAAGCTCTAGCTTGAAGCCATATGTTCCATTGGGAAAGCAAAGGAATAAAATAAATAATAATAAATTAGGGTAAATAAACAGTTGTTAGTTATGGTGTTCAAAAATCAATAACGAGTCGCGACAATGTCTGATATGCCGTGACCTCAACAATAACAACATGAATATAAACTTGAATCACCCTATTTGACAAATAAATGTTTGAAGCGAATTGGTAAATAACCAACTTAACTTATCCGTTTTATATAATCGGATAGTTGTATACTAGTGCAGCCTAATGTCAATAGTTGACTTGGGTATTAATCAGCAATGATTTATTGATTTCCATAGGTTTACAAGTATACCTCACAGATTCATATCAAGACATTCACAACAAAATCTTCTACCTATTGCTTATGGGTATAAAGAGTGAGTGCAGTACAGTTTACCAATTAAACTGCATTGGATTAGTATATATTCTCTCAGTGTTACAATTCCACACGTACTTCTGTGAAATCGATGCTTACTTCTTTCATGCTTTACATACATTATTTTTCTTCTCTTTCAGTCTATTTCCAACTATGCCAAGACATAATTATTACAAAGTAAGACCATATGTAAAAGCCTTATGTGAAAAATACAATCTTCCATATCGTGTTAAACCGATTGGAATAGCCTTTATGGATGTTTTCAGGTGAGTGATATTTAATTCTATTATTTATTTTGTAAAATATTTTTTGGCGTAATACCTTGATATTACAATGACAATCATGGTTGTTTATCAAGGAATAGAATATGTACTCAGTTTGAAACGTTGCAATTCACCCTGCATTTAGTATGAACGTTTTGTGTAACAGTACTTACTCCGAAAGGGAGAGGAACAGCAGACAATAGCTCTCAGTCTTAATGGAAAACAATTATGATTAAAACTCTGTTTTAAAATATCTTTCTTTCAGTAACTTTGGGTTGATTTGTTTATCAATCAACTTCTTACCATATCAAATAACTACTGAAAATCTTATTTGATAGTCGTGTACGTGATTACTGATCTGTAGTTGTATCAAGTGACTTAAATTATTGTAAAAAAGAGAAAAGACCGATGAGGCTTGAAGGGAATGTTTATTAGGACAAATGCAGTGTAGGTACATAAATTTGGCATACCTTGTCTCTACGTCTTTATTTGCACATCATTTGCAAATTGGTCGAATATCATCATATTCGAAAGCTTGTTCTTCACATAGTTCTCTTCTCTGATTGCTTTATTCCTCTGCGCAAAACATATTGTTACTTTTCTGAATTCGTTTACTGGTATACTACTTATATCTGATTATAAGTAATACAATAGTGTGAGTCATATTTTTAGGTTATTCAAAATAGATTGAGGTAATATGAAGCATATCATCATGAGCTGACATCAGTTAGAGAATCACTGGAAAACCTGGGAGTAATGGACAGTTGTTTCGTCCTATTTTGGGACTCTTCAGTAGTGCGCACCAACCGGGATGCGAACCCAGGACCTTCTGGTTACAAGGGTCCCAGTGGCTCAATGGTCTACGAGCTCGCCTTTTAACCAGAAGGTCCTGGGTTCGAACCCCGGTGGGTACGTACTACTGAAGAGTCCCAAACTGGGACGAAACAACTGTCCATTACTCCCAGATTTTCCAGTGATTCTCTAACTGATGTCAGCTCATGATGAAATCCTCCATGCAATCAAACAAAATCCCTACAAAACTAATACTTGAAGATTGAGATAAGTTTATCCGAATTCACTTCACAGATCAGGCTGTGTGGCTTGATGTCATACTGAATATTATTATTATTATAAACAAGGATGAAATCTCTTAGGTAGATAGTAACTTCAATGGTATTGTAGGAGTGCTTAGAGTTTGAAGTACAGCTTCGCCTTTAAGAGAGAAAAGCAGAGACACTGAACAACCAACCAGTTCAGATACACTATGGATTACAGTAGATAGAACACGAAATCCGAAATTCAGACAAGATGTGTAGATTTTAAGCGAGCAGATTAAAAGCACAGGTTTATTGTTTATGTTCCGTTCTTTTAAATTTTTCTATAATTCCTTCACTAAATTCACATGTCCCTTACATAAGAGAAGAAAATAAGTTTTCATCATAACTATAAGGTGTACATATCAGTTTCACAGGCGTTACAATATACAATTCAAAATCCTTTTCATGAATTCTCATTCATGACTGGATTATTGGTCATTAGAATAGCCCAAATATTCTGAACATCACACCTGTATTATTGTATAGTAGTTTCAGTCGCTACATTTCATATTCTGCACACCAATCAAGCAGGAAGCTATATAATGGAAAAACAGAAGTGAAATTAATACATATGGGTTGCAAAATGCCTCAAAGTGAAAGCAGAAACGACAACCCATATGAAGACACATAATAGTGCTATCAAGGTGAATATAACTTATGAATACAGATGTACCAGTGTGATTGATTTTAAAACATAATTACCTAAAATCTCTGATAGTAGGCTTTGTTGATCTTGTGAACTCCGGATAATACAACTTACATATCTCTAAACATGAACAATACTCAGTTATACAGAAGGCAAAATTTAAGAAGACGAACTTATTCTTTGGTAAGAGGTAGCTGCATATCGAATTATTTTTCCATTCATTAAAGTCTATTATATGTGTGGATTGAAATCTCTCCTTACTAAAAAGATCATTGGAAACATTCACAGGAAGTCAGTTTAACTTTAAAGTTTACGGAAGAATTCGTAACTACACATGTAAATATTATAAATATTGCTTAATATATAAATCCAGCGTATTTTAAAAAAAGTCAAAAACAAGATTTTTCTGTTTTGATTTTTTTAAACACACTGGAATTATTTGAAGTAATTTTTTTAATGATTCAATCTGGCTCAACGCTCAGGTTATTCCAGGAAATTCGTAACACCTAAGCTTTGAATTTCTATAATCTTATATATGTGAATAGCCCCCGCCTTATTATTAGCAAATGTAAACAAAATTGTGTTTTATGACCTCCTTAATCTTATCATAAACTTTGTATCGTCTCATCGTATTTATTGTTCTTTAAAAAACTATATTCCTGAGTTTCAAGGTGAAATATTGTGTTGTTTTACCTAGTACATTAAGCTTATCTCTGTATAATTAATGATAAGTTTTTGGTCAGACAGTTACTTTTAATCTTTAATAATAACAGTAAAGATGAAGTGTATTAGGAATCAAATCATCTCTCGTAAATTCTGTCTCTTACATTTACTTTTAATTGACACATTCACTCATGTTAAATTTTAAGAAGTTATGATCATGAAACTGTGGATATATTCTCTTTTTTAACTGTCTGTATTGATTAAAGAGATGGATTTTTAATTTTACTTGATAAAAAAAGTAGTGATATAGTATCATTCACTGTTGACGTTTCGACCATAGTTTGTTACTCCTAATCTTATGAAGACCTTCACATAACTTTATATAACTCCATTATTATTATTGTTATTATTAGTAGTAGTAGTGGTATTGTTTCCTTTAGTTCCTAGAGGAACATAGAGCTTCAGCTGCACGTCTCCATTGCGTTCGGCTCGCTGCCAACGTTTTCACCTGGTTCCACCTCTGCCCACATGCTTTTATCTCCTCTTCACAAGACCTCCATGTCACTCTCGCACTGACGACCAACTCGCCGCTTACCATTCGGGTTCCAGTCGAGCGATGACCTGGCGTGTGATGTCACTTGATGGTTTCCTCAGAGTATGGCCAATCCACCTCCATTTTTTCCTGTTTATTTGTTGCACAATTGGTTCCTGCTGGATTGGTTCGCTACCAGAGATCCCTGTTGCTGATCTTTCCTGGCCGTCTGATCGTGAGTAGTATTGAGCGAAGACAGTTGTTGATGAAGGTCTGTAGTTTGTTCGAAGTGGCCTTCGTGACGCACAGTGGAAGTCTCTGATCCGTATAGTAGCACTGACTTCACATTGGAGTTGAAAGTCCGCATCTTATTTTTCATGTTGAGTGCTGTTGACCTCCACACAGACTTGAGAGTAATGAAGTCCTGTCTTTGATGTTTCTTGTGCCAACTTGTTGCTTGTCACTTGCATATCTCCATTAGACACAGTTTAATCTTTCCGACAAAGTTATCAACCAGGCTGTACATTCGTGTATTTATAGGTAAATGGGTGAGAAAGTTCCACAACTATTTCCAGTCAAAGTGTATTAAAGACATAATAAGGTCATAATTACTGAAATACTTGACTGTTTGTACAAATTATGGATTAAGGGCGTAGTAATAACAAAATAGTTAGAAAGTTCGGATATGTATAAAAATATAAACATCAACCAAACTCAGTAATACAGATAGGAATTAAAAATGTAAAAATAACAGAAATAAACACGAGGGTTGGATAAGAAAGGTAATAGTTATTGGTGGGACTGACTTTTCATGATGGCCAAGGTAGGGACAACGACTGAACGTATTTCTTTTGAACACATAGTGTGGATTTGAGTGTTTGAATCGCCAGTGCCTCAGCTAGTCCTAGATACCGTGATCTCACTGTGTTTCACTTATTTGTTACTACTACGTCCTTAATCCATAATTTGTACAAACAGTCAAGTATTTCAGTAACTATGACCTTATTACGCCTTGTAATTGTATTAATTTGACCTTTGACCTGAAATAGTTCTGAAACTTTCTCACCCATTTACTTATAAATACACGAATGTACAGCCTAGTTGATGAATTCGTCGAAAAGAAAATTTTCTTCGCTATAACCGTCTTTTTAACAATTTAATCTGCAAGATACTATGTAGTGACTGTGTTGCCAGTTATACAGATTCATCCAGTAGATATGGCCAGTCAAGATATTGGAACAGAAATTTAGATAATTTTAAGATGATTAACCTCAGAAAGATGGCTAGTTTAATGAAAAAAACTCAGGCAGTCACAAATGCATGCATTAACATACAATTATGCAATAAGGTGTGACAATTCTAAAAAGATGATGTAGATAAGTAGTAGAAGAAAAGGTTGATTACTGAATCTTTAGAAAATGCAACAGATTGAGCGAACAAATATATTCCTTTTCAATTAGTTCCTCATCATCAGCTCTACACTAATAAATAGTTTTTTACATCAAAATTTTTTACCATTCAAGTGGTTATTTTAGGTAATCAGTTTTAGGTATATGCGAGGGTGAAATCAAGAGGTTAAAGGTGATCAAAAGAAATAACTAACAGATGTTAGTAACAAGATATCTAAGTTTAAAAGGCGGGGGGTGAAAATTAATTACGGAATTCAAGATCACTTAATTTGTAGGAGTTAGCAACAAGTTATTACATAATCAAGAAATTTGTAAAATAGCAGTGATGACTAGGAAGAATAGGATGACTCAGAAGAATTATGTAAAATACAAACAAGTTAATAGAATTACCTAGAAATTGTAAGAATTAACAAAATCAAAAGACGGTTACAAGGGGCACAGTTAGTTGATCCTGGTAGCTTTGATTCGAAATAATTGCACAAACACATTGATTAACATCAGAATTCTAATTCGCTTACATCTTAACTTATTTATCGCTTCAGGTATTAACTGGATTCATAAATTTTGTTAAGACCCGATAGCTGTATAGCCGGCATTCACGCCTACTCATTTCGGAGCACAAGGATAATCGATAAAGAATACAGATATGTGTTAGCCAGACATAATTATCAAGTGTTGTGACAATGATGAAAAATTGTTTCAAAAAGTGATAAAAATTCTAGAAAGACAACATAAAAATATGCAATATAATTCTTAAGGCTAGCAGAAATGAAAAGTGTTTAATTCTAGACTTAAGATGTTGATGCGACAGGAAACGCAATAAAAAAAACAACGGTTAAAATCACTGAATTTAATATTGAAAGTCAGAATTTGAAACACTATATGCATCTGTAACAAGAGGGGAAATACGCATTTGTTTAAAGTTTATTCTACCTGTACGTGAAGATCCCCATTTACCTTAACCGAATGACTCATATAGATTATTCACACCTTGATAAAGTATAACATTAATCAAATTTATCGATGCATCTGCGTCGGTGGCACAGCGGTAGAATGCTCACCAACCGCGCTTGTGGTCGGGGGTTCAATCCCCGGCCGACGCACTCCTTTACCTCGCTAAGTTAGTAATAAGACTGGAAAAGAGCGGAGGTTGGGCGTGAGGTTAGCAACCCCATCCCGTAAAAATAAACACCATTGCTACCGAAACTACAAACCTCTAGCTTGAAGCCCTATGTCCCACTGGGGACGTAAAGGAATACAAAAAAATCGATGCATCTAGCGCATTTTCAGAAAAAACTGACATATGTGAAAGCCGTACTCTATTTCCTTCTTAGGAGGCTGACTAGTATATTTTTCCTTCATTTGTCTAACCTATGAGATATGATTCATGTTTGTATTAGAGAGTTTACTTCATCACTTAAGAATGCGACGTCTCCAGATACAAGTTGCATTTCAAAACCATTATTCACAAAATAACGCTACTTTCTTATCTTCCAGTTTAAGTATGTACTGTCGTCATATCCCACAATGAAATAACACCTACTTTGCCTTAATTTTATTCTTCTTTTTTTCTCTAGAACTTTGAAGAAAAGTGCAGATTTATGGAGACAAGTTAGTCTTGAAAAAGAAAAGTGTTCTAAAAAGTTGTTAGCTGAATAAATGAATGTTGTCCCTGTGGTATGATAAGTATTGTTTCCACTCAGATTGTGAATAAACAATTTTTAAATCTGACTTTGTGTCTTGAATACTATTCACGATCATCGCACAGTTTAATGCATGTGAGTAGACAACGAGTTGGTTCTCTTTTAAAACTGACATTTGCTTATTTTAGTAATAACTGACTACACATAATTATTTTAATGATCTGATGTATCCTTATTTACTCATGGGTTGACTGTTTAATCTTATTAATGTACTCATTCACTACTTAATACTGAAAACTAACTAAATCAATGCGGCATAAATTTAACCTCTGATTTCACTCATCTTTATTTTCATTATGTATTTTCGTAAACGTGAAAAAAATTTAATATTTTGTCTACTTTCTTGCTAATCTACTTATTTCTAAGAAGTAAATGCATGAGTTTCACGTGTGTTTATTTTTCCTAAAAATGTCTCTTCAAGTTTGGGGATTGTAGGGCAGGTTAATTCTAGCAGCGCCCGTGAAGACCAGTCAAAATTGTTCTAGAAGTGGTAGAAGGACTGTGGAGATCAACGCCTATTTAACATAAAATATAACAGAATGAAAGCATCACTTCCACAGGGTGGTGGGATGACGTTTGAACTTCTTAGCCTCTTTGTCTGGAGACATAAAATCCCTTCCACTCATCTGAAAACTATTTTTCCCGTACTAGGATACTTGAATCTTTTGTTGAACTCTAACGCGGTTCGTACATAGTGTCTTTATTAAAGCGGTTAAAAGCACTGCGATGTGACCACAGAATTCGCAATACTTAGGTTGCAGTCCCATTACAATATGGTACTTTCCTTAAGTTGTGACAGACTACTGGATTCTTTTGTCCACTAATACCAGGGCCCTACAATAGTGTCATAAGGAATTCCTCTAGGCACCTGGTTTCCACTTAAAGAGTACTCCTTTCATCCTTCTGTTACGTAAATAACCGGTAAATCACTCTGACATAATGCTGTCTACACAAAGACGTTTTGGCTCCCTTAATGTGCAGTTGAAGACCTATGTTCTACTAGGAACCCAAGGGAACAATAATAATAATAATAGTGTCTCAGTGAGACACTTTACTGAATGCCCCACTCAAATCGATAAGCGCTACATCAGGCAACCTGTTATCCTCAGTTTCCAGCTAGTAGTAGAGTTGTTAGACATCTGCCAACCCATGTGTTTCCGTGAATCGAGAAACTCTTCCCATGTAGAGTTAAGCACGTCAGTATGTCAACCAAAGATGCTTCACTTTACGCCATGAATGCAGAGTGAAAATCGGAAAAAGCATATGTAGTAAGATTTACTTGTGTAAATGTCACTAAGATCTTTTCCTTGGTCTTCAATAAACACTCGCCTGTCTATGCGTTATTTTCCACGAGACTGCAGTCCATTCTAAATTATCAGACTATTAAGCACTATAGCTGAGGTTGCAATGCCAATTTTTCATTCAACAAACAGTACTAAAAATCAAAATATGTGGTGGCTTTCTAAGTCCTAAATATTTCCTTAATCACTTTGAAAGTAAAGCAACGATGCATTCCATGCACTGTTTTATACTCTAAGCTTCGATTTGGGATTACCGATCATTAGGATTTTGTTATGTTTAACAGACGTCAATACGAATCTTTGGTAACAATGTTTCCATAATTAACATTGAGTATGTATACAAAATTACAGAGCTTCGTTGAGAACAACTTCCACTATGCTTAGTACATTAAATTAGTTTAACTACAGTGAATGCAGCAACTTTCCATTACACTTGAAGTAACTAAGAGTTCATTGTGAACTGCCAAGGGTTAGGCTGAGCTGTGTTTTTCACTTTTCCTTAAACAAGCATTCTTTTTTTATTGAAACCAATGATACTGTTTATAACTTAATAGTAGTAAGATTATAAATATTCAGACCGTAGATGTTACGAATTATAATTACCAGAAGTAAGACTAAAACATCATGCAGACAGTCAATAATATCTTATATATAACCGTTTATGGTGCACGAAAGTTTGCCTTAAAATTCAACAGTCCTTTCCACATATAGTCCTCTTAATTACAGACAACAAATGTAGAAGATTCTTGACTACATATCTGAATGAATATAACTTAAACCATCGGTAAAGGTAGGATTAGTTGGATGTTTATGTAATCGAGTCAGAAGTCAGAAAAACTCGAATAATGGGATCAAACAAATAAATTACTACTACTGAGTAATTATCCACCAGACTTCATTCAAAAACTTGTTCAAACCCATAAAAAAAATAATGGAAAATATTAATAAATTCCAAGTCTCGGTAGTACTGCCATATAGAGAAAGAATATCATAAGACTTTTAATAAGGCTGGAATTAGGATGACATTGAAACCAAAGAAACTCACTCAGGGGAAAACGTTTTCGGTTTAAAGACCCAACAAATTCAAATATTACGTGTTGACTCTGAGGTCGGTTACATAAGCTAAACTAGAAGATTACGGTAAACTAAATTATCGAGAGTGACTGACCCCGCGTCGGTGGCACAGTGGTTGGGACTCTCGCCGACCATGCACATGGTCCGGGGTTCCGTCCCCTGCCGACGCACACCCGATATCTATGGTCGGCCTGCGAAATTTGGGCTACCGATATCCATGCTGAAAATGCCATACTTGTACTGAAAAATACGGTGTGGCATCAAGCTGTAATCAAAAATAATAAATAAATAAATAATCTAGAAAAAGCTGGACCATTCCAATACACTCATTTGCATATAATTAAACAATAAGGTGGGAAGGGGTAAAAGTAAGGTAGTTAGGTGGAAAGAGCAGTTGATCATCGAATTTTTGTTCGGTGAATCAACACCAAACACGTGCAACCGAAGTGACCCAACACTTGTATCAAACATGTGGAAAATTGCAATAGAAAATGGGAGGAGGTTAAGATATGGGAAGCAAATCAGGGAGCTATAAGAATACATTAGTATGATTGATTATGAGCCATAATTTGTGCTCGCAACGTCATCCATTTATACATACTGTATCACTATATTTTTGCACTACTTTCACCATAATACATTTCCAAAGCACCTCCCTTGTGATGGGATTAAATGACACTTACAGGTCAAGAAATACGGTAAGTGACCAACACACCCTCATTCTGGCCTTAAGGCTAAACCAATAGTTACAAACATCATTCAACAGCTGGCTATACGACACTGCTGCGTGTCAGGTGATCCACAACAGAAAACTCAGCGAGGCATTTGAAGTGAATACAAGAGTAAGACAAGCTGACTGCGTATTATCACCGATGATATTCCTAACTGTGGTGGACTGGATTATGCATCAGACTGTGGGGAGCGAGAAGACAGGAGTACGTCGGACCGCCGATGAGAAGACTCTAGAAGATCTGCATTTTGCGCGTGGATGATTTATGTCTAATGTCATATAAACTCGATGATTTACAGGCGAAAACCAACAAAAAGGCTGAAGAAGCAGCAAAGACAGGATTCCAGGTGAACATAGAGAAGACGAAGGTGATGAAGACAACCAACAGCAATAGCAACACCATCAACGGGAGAAACTTGAAAGAAATCACTTCCTTCACTTATCTGGCTAGGAAGCACTGTTTCAACCGTAGACGGAACGGATGAAGATGTCAAAGCCAGCCAGAATCGGAAAGTCAAGACACGCCTCCATCAACCTGAAACCAGTTTGGAAATCTTCTGCACTCAGCCATCATTAAGTACAAGATTCGGATTTTCGACACAAATGTGAAGTTGGTCAGTCACTTCTTCTATATGGGTCAGAAACTTGCACTGAGCGTCATGGAAAGCATTTCCAGCACTTCACGGACCTTTATCAACAGCTGCCTTCGCTGGCTCCATACTGAAGATCAAATGGCCAGAAAGAATTAGCGACAAGAAACCGTGGGGACAAACCAACCAAGAACCGGTTGTTCAACAAATATGCCAAAGAAGATGGATGGAGCATACGCTGAGGAGACGGTTGGCTGACATTGCGGGAAAAGACGAGTAGGTCGTCCGAGAGTGACATGGAGGAGATGAGAGATTATGGGCAATCATGAGCACAGCTAAAGAAAGCAGAAAATAGAACAAAGTGCAGATATTTTGTTGAAACCTTATTTTCCATTCGGAATCCAAAGGCAATAATAACAATACTGTTCACAGTCGTTACAAAGACTTGCATTTGAGCAGCTTTCGCCATTTGGCATGCTAGGATTCTACCGGGATCAGTCTGGCGTCTATTAGTTCAGATGAAACAACAGAAATTCAGTGGTATTTGCTTACCTTTGATTTCAGGCAATCAACAACCTTGATCACTGTTCTCACTAGATGTTATTCCGGGGTTCTTCAGAATGACTTTTGTTGTCAATCTCAGATACGCATTTAGCTATTAGTCCCCTAAATAAAAACTTCGTGATTTTATTAAGTTGGGGTCACGGCTGCCTGCTATACATATCCGTTCAGTTCTAATTAAATATGTGGAAGTACCGGTGCGTGTTTGGGACCTACGAGGGTATTCTAAGTGTACCAGTGCTCTGTTAGGTTAGACAATGTCTCTCATTGTCTTTAAAGTTAGTGCTGACAATGTACAGAATATTATCTAGAAAGAATTGTAAACGACAACCACTGTTAACAAAGTGGAATACCACACGCGTCAGCAATATACTTTTTTCATTAGCACAGCGTCCCTACTTGAGCATTGAAGTTACCTGCTACAATGACTACATCTATGTGTTATGCTTTCAGTAGTAAACTAGGGTTTTTGGTAGAACTCATCCTTCAATTCTTGCGAACTGCAGTCGGTTGGGGCGGAGACATCGACGGGTAACGCACTCATTCCCTCTAACGAATCGGTTCAGCTCGACAGCACATATATGACTACCCTGTGGGATCTGGTTAGAGGGCAATTTCTCCACCCTAGCATTCAATGCCACTTCTGTGCCAGCAATGTCACGCGAAATAGTTGAAGTCCACAAGGTGAACTTTTTGGGCTCGCAGCACTGGCTAGATTATGTTAGGCGAATAACCACATCTATTTCTTGTGTGTACATCTCCGAAACACAACATATATTCATGTGTCGAGATGCCAGATTTCTAGCTAGGGAGGCCCGTTGTCCGACTTGGAAGAAGGTCCCGAAATTAAAAGCTCTAATATGAAGTTACTAGCTTAGTTTTAAGAAATCACCAGTAGTGTATTTCCTGCTCTAATAACTATTCATAGTCTCAGAGTTGAGGAATAACCTACTGAATAGTGTTAACAGTGTAAGGTACACAAAAAGATGGAGGTGGATAATGATCGCGAAAGCTTTATGTGCTTAGAGAAGTATGTGGGTGGTTGCTAAATCCCGGCTGCCCACACCGTGGAAGCTGATATCTTTTTGAAATACTTGAAACATAAGGAGCACTACTGTTACGTGACCGCAGAGACCAAGGGACAACTGCTCGATACCAGTCACACACGGTATGTTTGAACTGGCTTTTACAGTTGTGCCCGCATGCAGGTAGATCTTAACACCGACTACAGATCGCCGCAAGGTACGATTATTGGGGTCAACCTTTTCTAAGCCCCCAACTCTCCGGGGTAGAGACTTGCTTACTGGTCATTCGAAGGAGACACCTTACTGCCGTTACATCCCCACTCGCCCTCAGACCCTCAAACATAGTGTGACCAATGTACACTATGATGACAACTGGTTTTAGTCAACAGCTATCCAAACAAGCTTTCCCGTACAGCGGGACCTGTAGCCAATGTAGTTAGTTGAGTTACTACGATATGCGAGCCCAACCATCATGTAAAAATGGCTCCATATTAGTTTGTTTATTAGATGTATCACACAGTTTTTTCAAGTTTCAAAGTTGTGTGATTACAATTGATATGATTATGAACAATAAATTTTGTTCGAAACGTCATCCAGTAAATAATACTGTTTCACTGTGTGATACATCTAATAAACAAACTAATGTGGAATTACTTACTACCACAGTGCCTAAGTTTTACATATATATATTAATGTAAAAATGGCAACTATCAGTCAGACCGTAAATACACAAGAATAACCAAACAGCCTTCAGTCAGGCGATTACCTTGAAAATAACACAACAAAATAACTTATGTTGGCATCGATACAAATCTATGAAAAATTTGATTCTCACAAAAGAAACTTCGATTGCATAGTAAATCCAAATTTCCAAATCAGCTGACATTCAAACTAAATACAACGCAAAAGTCACTAGTTTACTTTGAAAAAAAACTATATTCGACGCTTTAATCAATTAAAAAAAGTGTAAGTGAGATCAAATTTGAGTTTTATGTATAACAGTTAGATAATAAAATGATCTATGCCGGATGAAGTAGCATATATGGCAATGAATGGTATTTTATGGTCTCAGTAGCTGTCCCTTCATTTAACCATGAGGCATACGAACAGCCAGAATGAATCGTAGGTACTATTTGAATAAATTATATGTTTATGTAGCCATCATTACGCCAAAGGTGGATTGGTCCTGATCGACAGACCACAATACATGTGCTGTGCAAGCTGAGAAGCTATAACATAAAGACGAAAGCAACAGATTTAATATCAAATAAAACATAAACAGTAAAAAGGTGATTATTTGGCAACAAATGACCGTTTACATTCGATTACTAGCCTTTTTTAATGACTAAAGACTGTGTAACCTCATGGTGTCAATAACGACTCAGAAAATACCAAATCATGTATACATTCCCCTGTCAAATATCTCCTATTCGGACTCATAATAAAATTAAAGTATCTACACACCTTTGTCGACGAATATTTAATCTATACAGGATTTTGTTGAGTAATGCATTATTCCAATGCCGAACGGTGTGGTCATGTAAGATGTATTCGAAGTAAGGTGAACTGAAGAAATTTACCTCGTCAAAAATGACAACTTGATTTGAAATGAAACATTTTGGCGAAGTAAGGGAATATCAAAGATTCCTAACACCACCACTAAACATTTCGTTAATCTTCTATTCAGTCAAAAGCAGGCAAAGCTCAGAAATTCTTTATGACGAAACAGCTGTCCACTACTTCTGAATTACAAAGGTTTTCTCCTGTCTTCCAATTAACCATTTTCAACCCACATATTTACAAAACACTCATACATAATTGAGGTAGTGTATACCGAATCTTAATGATACAGTTTCACATTAGTGTCCAGAAATTCAGTAAGTGTTTCCTGTAGGGTTTGAGATCAACTATTCAGTGGATATTTCCCTGACGTTGCAAATACAGCGGATGGAAAACCCGAGTTGCATGGATAATACTCGTTTATGGCTTATTAGTTGCCTTCAAAAACTTGACCAAATGTAAACCTTTGTCGTTAACTAGTTGCATAATGGATCATTTCGATATTCAACTCCACACTATCATGTCTAGAGAACATCAAACAGCAGTAAAACGTTCCACAAGCAATGACGATATGCCATATTACAACCGGATAAAGATTTAAGCGTCGCAGTAATGAACAAGAGTGGCTGTATCAAGAAAATAGAATCCACTCCTAAAAAGGCATCGAAATTCAAGATTGATGGTCACAGGAAACACAAGATAGGTTCTATACAAAAGTACCTATAGAGCTTTAGAAAAAGAAAATTATTGATAATCTCACGTACAACGAATTGAAGCCTAGTCGCAGGCACACTTAAAAATCGACAACCATGCCTCAAATGCTACCTAAAAATGTACATATCTATTCCCGAGTAACTGCAGGAGCAGACGCATTCGAAACATTTAAAATAACTAGTAGACAAAACAGCCTGTCTTTGCTTTCCTGAGGCTATCGTAATAAAATGGCTGAAACTTGACCTATATACTTAAAAAGAGTCCGTCGTGGGACCTCGGTTACCCCGATAACTTTCCCCTCAGTAACTATTTGTCTTCTGATTTTTTTCGTTTCGTTTTCCTCTCATTTTTCGCCTGACTTTCATATTAGACTCATTTGAATTCCATATCGTCATCATTTTCTTTGATTTCGTACGCACTAGATATTGATTTTTCAATCTTATGAGTTCCAATCACCGCATTTTATTATCTCTAATTATGCAATTATCACCACCCGGACAGCACATCTGTTCGTTTTTGAAGGGGAATTTCACTATTATATATGTATATATATATATGTACATATATAATCGTAATTTGTTTTATTAAAAGTTATAAACCGTACACAGCTAACGAGAACTAATGAAACAAAATGGATCCATGTTATTCTGTACTGATGTTTGTCCTATCTTTATTCAAATTTATAAGGGGGAATGTATGTATGAAACCTTAAAAGTCAATTGTAGTTCCATTGATAACAGTACTGACCATTCTGTCTACCTATGTCACTTTGTAAACTGTAATCATTAATTAGAAAACATAAAACTAAAAGTTGCAGCTGTTTCCCGTCACAATCAATTTACAGTTACAAAGAATTCGAAAAGAAACTCACCTGTAAAAGGAAAAAGATGCATCCGGATCCAATGACATACGCTAGGTGACTTTGGACTTCACTTCCCAAAGCGACAACACAGCCAGTTTGATAAGGTTTGGATTCTTTATTCTTAGGATCGTCGTAACAACTCTGAGGATAGCTCTTGTTAGCTTTGTAGAAACTAGTAGATTCCCAGTCAGACCAATTATTCACTCCACAACAATGCAACTAAAAAATAAGATAAATCTTCCTAATTTCGACAATACATTAGACTGAATGATGTCTACAACACGTTCAGCTGCATCAACTTTGTCATATATATTCAGCTCCTCTTGAAGCATCTGAGATATCTGTCTGCCAACCTACAAGAAATATTGAAACTAAAGTGTATTAACCTTTGGCCAGTAAAATATAGAGACTATAACAACGGCTAGCTCACAAAGTAAAATGAGGAGTAACAAGCTGTAGAAAAACACAAGTAAGCAGCGACTATGCTTTATACAAGCAAGTACACCAGTACCACCTGCTAATATAAGCAGTATACCTGTGCCGAGAAGAATATAGGCAGGAAATGAAACGTTTGTTTCAACCAGTGCATGTTTGTAACGGGCAATAAGCGCAAGTATGCCCCCACCAACAGAAATGAACACTATAGAGGCAATCTGAAAAGGTTAGAAAATATATGTACAACAAACTTACTGCAAGAAAAACATATGATAGAAATGCGATACACTTAGATACGACACCAAGAATAGTCATTATGACACACTGAATAGCCTAAAAATATGAAAATCCAATTATTTCTAATTATCAAAAGAAAACTAAAAGCAGAACAAAATAAATCACTGAAACAACATGAACAAATAGTACTCAAGAAGTCTAGAATTCCCAAAACCATGCACATATATGGACTTTTTGATATGGTTGTGTTCTTTAAGCTGGATAGTTAATTTGCGAAGCTTTCATCACTCTACATATATGAACAGATTCTCTTTACATATATGAGCATATAGGCATTAATGAAGCGTCTAACACAAGTCTATACATACTTGTGACATTTATCAGCACTGTTAGTGACAACAAAACAGCAGGAAGTCTACCTGTAGGAGAGTTAAGCTCATCTGGATATGCTATTTAAGATGGATAAGAACTCTAGATATGTTAAAACACGACATGTATTCATGAAACTTAGTTGCTTTTGTGGGGTTCTCGTGATATTAAAATCAATGCACAAAACCTCTTCTTGACTAATTTCCGAAAACTGGCTGTCTGTCTGAGCCACAAAGATAGACGTAAATTGGCAGACTGAGGTCAACATGAGTTACTGCTTCGAGATTTTTTGTGACAGCTCAAGGTCCTTTACAGTGACGCGAGTGTATTTACTTCGAAATCATAAAAAAGCCTCGGTAATAGTTCTTTTTACTCCCTGAGATAAATTAAACTGCTATACTGATTATGGGATTTCAATTTGGTCTGATTGTCTTTTGAGAAATCTATGTAGAGTGACTGGAAATTTCTGATGACATGTGGTAAAACAAGAATTGATAAGGAATAAATTTCTTCGCTCAATTTGTTTTTTCGGAATGCGTAAATGGAAATTTGAAAAACATGAATTGGCGGAAAAAAATAAAAATATCTCTCCAGAACTGGATTCTATTGTAGTGAATATTCACTTTGGATGTGAACAAAAGAGCAATGAGCAAGTCTCCATAATCAATCGAGATACTATTGTTGAATTACGAAATCCACCCACTTCTGTGTTAGTTTCAGCCACACTAATTTAAGAGTCGCAAAATTCTACTCGATTAAAGAAGATGAAATAGGTTGGGTTAACCTCCTGACCGATAGCTGCTAACTTGATGTGGTGGTCGAGCTTGCATATCGCAATGACCCAACAAGCTACACTGGCTGGGACTATTGTTCCTGCAGGTCGTAGCATGCCAGGAAGGTTGATAGGATAGCTATTACACTAAAAGCAGTTACCGGCATAGTCTAAGAATTTTTTACACTGTGCTGGGGGTCTGTGGGCGAAATCATGCTGCTGAGAAACACGGATGTAACAGCAGTAAGGTGTTTCCGTCAGACGACCAGCATACCAGCTATGCTATCTCTCCACTCTGGAGAGAGAGGGTTAGAAAAGGTTAATCCCAAAAATTGTACATCATGACTTACCCTACGGTGGTCCGGAACCGGCAGTAAGTTACTAATACGGAACCAATCCAAGAAACCAGTTTATACAGGCCGTATATGACCGGCCTCAAGCAGTTGTTCCCTGGACTCTGTGGTCACACAACACTAACCCTCGTTCTGTTTCAGGTACCCGAAGAAAAAATCAACTTCCGCTGTGTGGGACGCCGGGAAGTAACAACCACCCAAACACCTCCAAAAGCACATGAAGCCCTCCTAAGCATCATTCTCCTTTATCCACATCACCCCTATCATCTTACCTACCACAGTCTGTACTTTTCTTCAGGCTAGTGGGTCATCCTCACTTCACTCTGACCACAAAAAAAAGGTTAGAGCGATAGAAACATCCCCCGACAGCCCCTTAAAGTCACGTCGCCAACTTGATATGGGAACATTCAAGGTCAGGACCCTCTGCTAAATTGGACAACAGGCATCACTAGCCAGAACTCTGGCATCTCGAGCCATGGATGTATGTTGTGTCCCGGAGACACGTATACAAGATACCCAAATGTGGTCATTTACTTAACCCCTTCCGCCCAACAACACGAATCTGCGAAATTCACCCTAAGGGTGTCAGGAGACTCCTCAGCTAGTTCGTGAGGACTCGCAAGTGTAGGGACAGCATTGAGTGTCAGGGCAGAAAAATCCGCTCTTCACTGGATCCCAGCAGATAGTTGTTTGCGTGTGAACCGTTTGAAAGGATCGGTTAGCTGTAGACACAGCTGTAAAAGCTGGTAATAACATGAAACCTAAAGTTAGTAAGAACCAGTGTATTGACGCAAGAAGACTGATTTCGGGGAGCTCCGACTATGATGAGGAGCGAAAGCTACTCAAACGCAAACTAAAAAGAAGCCTTCGGAACGACCGTGAACAGTGGTGGGCGACAAAAGCGAAAGAGATGGAAAAGGCATCGGTGATTAGCTTGTCAGTGAAACAGGTGGTAAAAGGCAAATGATGAGTGAAACAAACTCCGAGGGAAATGGCACCATAATTACCTCTCAGGATAGTCTGGAACGTTGGAAAGAACACTTTGAGGAGCAATTTAATTGGCCTACAGCCACGCTCAAATTACCGAACATCCAACACCTCTCTGAATGGGATATAAACACAGGTCCTCCGTCCATAAGTGAGGTTACTAATGCTGTCACTAGTCTGAAACGAGGCAGAGCAGCAGGACCAGATGGAATGACTGCAGAGGTACTTAAGTACGGTGAAGACAGTTTACTGTCTGCGTTAACTTAAGTACTAGTCAGCGTTTGGGAATCAGAGGAAGTCCCGTTAGGTTGGCGTAAGTCATTGATTATCCCGATATACAAAAAGGGAGACAAGTCTTCCTGTGATAATCACAGGGGGATTAGCTTGACTAATACGGTATCTAAAGTTCTAGGCTCAATAATCATGCGTAGGCTAAGTGGTGCTCGGAAGGCACAAACACGAGAGAACCAGGAAGGCTTTAAACGAGGAGTAGGGTGTATTGATCATATCTTCACCCTTCAACAGATTCTGGAACATAAGCATACTTACCGGCGTCCAACAATCATCATATTTCTTAACCTAAAGGTGGCATTCGATTCTGTCGACCGAGAGGTATTATGGTGATGTTTGGTCATGAAGGGATTGCATGGAGGATTTTATCATGAGCTGACACCAGTTAGAGAACCACTGGAATACCTGGGAGTAATGGACAGCTGTTTCGTCCTAGTTTGGGACTCTTCATGAGTACGTACTCACCGGGGTTCGAACCCAGGACCTACCGGTTACAAGGCGAGCTCGTAGGCCATTGAGCCACTGGGACCCAATCCAATAGTCCTGGAATTCTAACTTCTACCAATTCACGACATAGTGCGACCATTTCCCTTGAAATTTAAATACTGTGGAAGTCAGGCATAGCTGCACTCCAAGCATTATGTCCTCAAGTGGCACTTTCGTCCTAAGTTCGAGTTCTTGGTCAGAAATGACTTCGTTTCTGACTGCCTCTACAGCCATATTTATTGGTATACATGTATATAAACTGACAATGTCAAAGCTAACCATTTTCTCTTCATTATCTAATTTTAAATTATCTAATCTGTGTTTAAGTTCATAAGAATTTTTTAGTCTAGATTTCGAGTGGATTTTAAGGTGATTTAATACCATGGCTAAATATTTAGATAGTTCATAAGTAGGTGAATTTCTGAAATCAACTATAGGTCAAATAGGGTATCCTGACTTATGAACTTTGACAACACCATACATACTACTGGGGTTATTAGTTTTGGGCATTAAATTAAACCACTTAGACTCACCTAGAAACGGCTTCATTCGGCGTGAGTCTAAGTGGTTTAATTTAATGCCCAAAACTAATAACCCCAGTAGGATGTATGTAGGACATAAGAAATTATTTATTGGTAATTACAATCCATTACACCAGCGACGCTCAGTCAAGTCGAATTTGGTTGTTCTTAAAAATATTCCTGAATGCATTGGCGTGGCGATGCTCCCTAAGCTAGATAGCTTAAGTATGCTCCGAAGATGTCTAGAAAGCTTAGCAAATAGACCATCCACCTCAGAGAACACAAGTGAACTCAAGCTTACAACAATTCTAAACTTATTCTAACCTATTCTTCGATAATGCCTTTTTATGGTAAATGAAAGTTTTATCTACACAGTATGTTCTGAAATAACGCTGGTCGTGCTTAAAAAGAGCTGGGTGCTGAATTAAGTCTTTTCGTTCTGAAGTAACGCTAGTGCGCGCTTAATATGTCCTGTGAGGGCTGAAACAACGCTGATAAGCAAACCTAGTAGGTTCTGATCTACTCCTGAAAATGCCTAGAAAAAGAACATGGTGCTGAATTAGTGCCAGTCATGCTGAAAACCAGCACTGAGTTCTAGTCTGTGCCATTAAAGAATCGATTTCAGAACAGATTCAGAATTTACTCACTATAGAACGTTAGAATTATTTCAGAATTAGTGAGATTTAATTTAGCATTATTGTAAGCTTGGGATGGATTTAAAACAAATACATGAAGAACATCTTGCAAAATATTAAATGTTTCAAAGCATTTCCCCAGCTAGCATTTTTTTCGGGCGCACACCTAGACGTGAGACAAGGCCCCTGAGCCAGCCCTGAACATTCTGCAATGCGCCCGAAGTCATTGCTAGCTGCTAGCTTGCGAATCTATCAATGTTTGAGTTTCCATCAAAAAACACTAGAAACCATAAAATACTTATGGAATACTGTTTCTCAAGAAAAAAACATTTGAAAAGTGTCAAAAATTTGTCAGTCTAAACAGCTGTTTAAACTATACATTAATTAATTGGCGACAGAGTATATGCATATCTGATATATATACATATATATATATATGCACGTAAGCCATAATACATATGTTCCGATGGAATTTCTTTTAATAAATATGGCAGGAGTAAACAATAGACACCAAAGTCAAATGACCTTCATCAGATAGCTCAGCATTATGAATGAACGATGTTCATAATAATCTTTGCAAGTTTCACTTAGGTTTAATGTTTGATTTCTGTATGGAAAATAGGTTGATAGGGAGGACTTGGCATTTACCCACTACTCACTATTCTCCAAATTATGTGACTCACCAATTAACACAATCAACTCGTTTGTATCTGAGGTATTATTCGCGCCGAAATTATGGGGCGCGCACTCTATTTACAGAAATCCTAACAAGGCGGCAGAAATTAAACGCCATGTACAAGGTCATTGATGGAGTGAGACGCTCAAAGGTCATTTTCGTCCATGTTAGTCGGCCATGTTGGATTGCAGTTCCGTTGCTGTTCGTTTACACATCGATTTTTCCGTTTATCCAGCAGTTATTCACAACTTATCTTGATGCACATTGTTCACAAATGTTGCGTTTCACTTCATTATTGTTTCCATTTCTGTTGAAATTAGTTATTTCGTTTGTTTCGAAAGTTTTTGCCACCAGGTCAGTGCATTCGTTTCACTGTAATTGTTTCATACGTTGCATTCATGCATGGTTTCAGTGTTTTAATTGTTTTTCAGCTATTAATGAATTAGTACTGTGTAGAAATCTTGGAGATTGTACACGTGAACATGTTTGGGAAGCAGAAGCCATTGTTTCCAGTTCATTTTTGGTTGCCGTTATTGCTGCTGGCTCAGTTGGTTACTTAATATGTAGGAATCTGGAAAAAATGTCTCTCACGTTCATGTTTACAGCATGCAACAATCAACGAGTGAATCCGGTGAAGAGAGCACCATCAGAATTGATATTAGCGAAGTTTTCGAAGAACTAATTAAACCCGGAGAATTTAGAACCTGGTTTGGAGTTTAAAATGCTTTGGAGCTTTTCGACAAGGTGTCTGTTGTCAGCTAAAAAGTCAGGTATATTGTGAGAGAATCAAGCAAGGGTGAGCCACATGTGAAGTATAAATGTGTGGTGTTTGTACGTACTTTTGGAAGCAAAATTAGGAAGCAATAGGAAATCCCTAAATGATTGTTAATGCCTAATGCACTAGATCCAAACGCACGAACTAGGACTGCCTGTAGTAAACGCGGTGTTAACAACCATTTTGTTTGTTTCAAAAGGATTTGAAAAGCAGATAACGTACGATGATCTGGTGAGTGTTCGGTAAGAATTTCACTAGCAAGAATAACGTTTCGAATTTACAACCGTCTGAGAAGCTGATTATTAATCGGGGTGAAAAAATTGGCTGGTTACAAATTGCTTGTTTCAGTTCAAATAATGAAATTCCTATTTTTCGGATGCTTGTGATTTCTCCGTGGTTATAAACACGGCTGCCCATGATTTCTAAGAAAACTTTAAATAAATTTTCTTTGAACCAGTGGTCTTCTTTTTCTTGGCGAAGCATCTATTGAGACGATTAGGTAGCAAAGTAGTAGATTGAGAATCGTAGTCGTTGAGTTTCGGATTTATATCGCGCATCTAATTGCTATAACCCTATGAGTAAAGCTTTTTCCTCATGGTGCATTATAATATATAGAATCCATAAGCACGCTGCCTTCGACAAATTTGTTTTTACTTTTTAAATGACAGCAAATAGTGAGTCATTTGAGGCGATAGGATAAATACCTCTAAACGCTTTCGTGGAGAGATTAGGATATGTTTATTTTCTCGACTAGGAGACGATCTTTTTACCCAGAAAGCTCTCAGGATGTCCGCTTTTACTTTGTAATTCAAAGATAACGTTGAGTTGCTCACCTAGGTAGTAGCAAGGGGGTAGCTTTAGGTAATGCGTCATAGAAGTAAGCAGTGTATGTCTATTGTGTCTAAATATATAAGACGTTGTAAAGCCGGTCAAATCGTAGTTCTCAAATATGAGTTAGTTTTTTAAATAATGAGTGTACCGTGCTAGCGTTTGTGCTCGAAACGTCATCAGTTAATATAACTGTACAACACTGTCTGATTTATCAAAATAAAATCTTATCCATAATGGAGTTATACTCTACCACAGTGCCCAAGTTTTATACTTATATCAGCGTTTGCCTTGGTTTGCATACCTAGCTCATGCATGCGTGTGATATACATTTAAGGCTAATACGCTGTTTGATGAATTAATCCGAGATACTTAAAGTCAGACTTGAGCTCTATATCACTGTCATCAATTTTGCAACGGTCATAGGAATTAACAGCCTCATCTAACTTTCTTTTACATCGGAAACTGACAGTCTGACATTTGGAAGGATTTAGTTTAAAAGCATTTTCTGACTCCTGATAGAGAGCTGTTCATCTAAGTACAGTGTAGATGCTAATTAAAAGACACTGGAATAGTTAGTCCGCGCACTTGACATATTTCATTCCGTATGCGTACGTACATTAAGTTCGTCAAACAAAAATACAATTGGTACTGGACGACTATAATGGAGAAAATGTTGTGATGCAAGACTGCAGTTGCATCTAAATTACTTCTACTGTGTTTATAGGCGAATTATTTGAGTTCGTTAAAGGCTGAAGGTTGAAGATTAAGTAAGAGTAATTTTTCCATAGCTTTTACAAAAGGGGAGGTAATAGCAATAGGTCAAAATTTAAAACATGTTCCATTAGACGACTTAGGTACAGGTACAATTTTAAAGTCCTTCCAAACGGCTGGCACAACATTTCTGGAAAAAGATTCATTAAATATGTGAGAGGATATCTGTACATTTTTGAAGAATAAGGCTAGGCAAACAATCTGGAACTACAAGAAGGGTTCAACGACTGGTGATATTTTAGAACGTCATTTAATAATAATAATGATTTACTTTATTCCAAAAACAGTACTTGTGATACAGAATGGAAATTTCAGCATTAATCACAAAATTGCATCTAATTTCCTCAATTATAAATAAAATTAATCACACGGAAAATTTTTCTACATTTACGATACGGGTTAATATAAAAAAATAAAAAACATGCAGCATATAAAATGGAAATAATAATAATGATAGCAGCTAAGGTAATGATAATAATACAAGTGGAAATTGCCGTGGGCTTGTTTTACACAGTATTGTCGATGCGGTATACAAATCCTTGCATGATTAAAAATATTGAATATGATGTTCTCTTTACATGATATGGTGAGGGAAAAACAAAGATTACAGCAGTCATAGAGATAAGTTGGTGTTTGCAGTTATGAAAGTGAAAACAAAGAATCAAGAGGACCATAAATATAATAGAAATAATAAAAGTAAAACTTGAAGGTATATAAAGATGGATGGAGGAGATTGTTTATTTACTAGATGAAAAAAGGTTTGTACTGAAACCAAGGAAGCAACTCTCATTAACCCTTGTGACACCAGAAACCTTGGTATTTGTGGGAGAATGTATGAATGCCTTGTTTACCGTACACACATCAAATGAATAGGATATACTGTTGTAATACTGGAGGTAATCAGATGCATAAATGCGTAAGTTATTTAATATTCATAAAGTAGATATGCAAACACCGCAGTTGTTGATTATAGAAATGATGGATATTAGATACCATCACATGATTCAAGGGCATATTAGAAATAGATGAAAATTGTTTCTTTGCTCACTGTCAAGTGAACAGTCTATTTGACGATGTCACTGCATATTAACAGATTAGTGAAGTAGCTGCCAAGCCTAAGTCATTAAATTTACTTGTACTTCATACTTGGCGTTTAACAGTGTACAGAATTGCAACTGGCTAGATAAGGCGATTTTAGCGTATCGAACAGTACAGAATTATTATTTAAATTGCTAAATCTTACTCAGTTTTTACAATGTGCTACTGTATAGAAACAGACACGAAATCTTACGAAGGGCTAAAGTAACAGTCTCATAATACTATAGTAAATCTCCATCCCTCTAACTAAGCTTAACATGCATTTATCCGAATTCACTTATTACAAAAGCACATAGTATAGCGACGCACTGAAAAAGTCTAGAGGAAGTAGAATTGAAGAGTATATTAAACATTTCATTAATTTACAAAAGAAAATCCCAGTGAAGAGTATTAACGTCAGTTTGTCCGGATGATATTTCCGCTGGTTTCATATTCGACAACTTCCGTATACCTGAAAAAAATAAAGCACATGTAAGGACTAGCACAACATGAATTTATGAAAGATAATTCTACATATTAGCACACACTATGAATACACTGATTCTGTTAATACTAAGTAATACCTCATGCAAATGAAACTATTTGTAGTCCACAGCTGGTTTATATATTGACGCCGTTTCCATAAATAGACCTCAGTTGTTTTGCAGCATTAGAGGATTATACGCAAATTTCAAGACAATATCTGAAGCATCCATACTGTTGAGGTGTCATTCTCTCATCAAGATTACTTACAGATTAGCTTCACACTAACTACGATCACCTTAAATGAAGTATTGCAAATGTGTAACCTAGAAATTGATCCATAATCTCAGTAATGTCTAATGAGCATAGTTTTATGAATCCTACAAAAATTACATTCTCACATTAAGGAATCTGTAGCCATCAAATATAAGCTGAACATGCTTCAACTATAAACAGCTATGCACAGTGTTAGCGGCATAGAGCAACACTTAAGATATTGTAAGATACGCAGACCTGTTGTGTTGATGAGGATAACAATGACATATAATACAACCTAAACTTTCACTCATGATGCAGCATCTGTACTGCTTCATGTCAATGGAAAATTCAGGAAAAATTCATCACCACTACTGGTGATCAAAAATATTACAGCATTAAGTTTACAGTGTCAGTGAGAATGGCATAACAGACAGTAGATTGATAGTAATAGAGCTGACTAGATTCAGTTCTCATAATCGACACAATCCATATGTATAATGATACTATACACTGAATTAATGCACTAAGTGACACAGTAAGGAAATTTAAACGAGTGACTGCCTTCTCCACGGCATTGCACTTGCAATAATCATGACAACCACCTACGTTTGCTAGCCAAGCAGTCAGCTAAGGAGACAATGGCACAATATAAATAAAGTCGAGGTATTTTTTATACATTGAGTCCGCATAACGCATATTATACTACACTAAACAGTGCAAATATACATGAAATCCACTTAGAAATAACCTCTCAACTTACGATAATTCCTGTCCAAACACACACGGTGAGACACATCTACATGATTATTCTATTCCCACAGAAGGTTCTGTTAGCATTTACAGGTGATTTCGAAGTACTGATAGAATTCTTTTGTCAAAAAGGACTGTTCTTCACACGAAAATAGGCTGAATTAATATCCTGAGACGTGAAGTC